TGTGGTCGAATGGTTAGCACATCGACTTCACAATGCAGGGGTACCGGATTCAATTCCAGCTCTGGCCTCCCTTTGTGGAGTATGCATGTTCTCCCCAGGCCTGCGTGGGTTTTCTCCGGGTACTCCGGCTGATTGAACACTCCAAATTGTCCCTAGGTGGGAGTGTGAGCGCGAATGGTTGTTCATTTCTGTGTGCCCTGCGATTGGCCGCCTACTGCCCGAAGACATATATACTGTATATGTGGATGGATGGATGGATGGAGGGATGGAGGGATAGATAGATAGATAGATAGATAGATAGATAGATAGATAGATAGATAGATAGATAGATAGATAGATAGATAGATAGATAGATAGATAGATAGAGATGTTTTTTCTTTTTATTCTGTCGTGTGGTCACCCTTGCGAACAAACGCGTATTTCCGTCAGTTGTCAGCGAAACAGGAGTCTGTAAGTGACGGACTGATGGACCTTCCATCACCCAGCCCTTTCATTTATTAAATACTGTGCTATACCTGTATAGCCCATCCATCCATTTTCTAATCCGTTTATCCTCACGAGGGTTGACAACAATTAATTAAAAGGAGCACATACAAATTATTTTGATGTATTTTAGCATGGCGGCCCGGTAGTCCAGTGGTTAGCACGTCGACTTCACAGTGCAGAGGTACGGGTTCAATTCCAGCTCCGGCCTCCCTGTGTGGAGTTTGCATGTTCTCCCTGGGCCTGCGTGGGTTTTCTCCGGGTACTCCGGTTTCCTCCCACATTCCAAAAAAACATGCATGGTAGGCTGATTGAACACTCTGTATTGTCCCTAGGTGTGAATGTGAGCGTGGATGGTTTTTCGTCTCTGTGTGCCCTGCGATTGGCTGGCAACTGATTCAGGGTGTCCCCTGCCTACTGCCCGAAGACAGCTGGGATGGGCTCCAGCACCCCCCGCGACCCTAGTGAGGATCAAGCGGTTCGGAAGATGAATGAATGTATGAATGAATATTTTAGCATGTGTTTTAGAAAGCGTTTGTAAAATCTAAATCATACAATTCTTTTTCAGCATAATAATGTTTTTAAAAAATCCACTTTTGTGATGTTAGACACGTACTGGGGACTGATAAAACAGACGAAAGGTTTAGAAATTAAAATTATACCAACACTGGTGGTGGTCTCACTGCTTAGTATAATATACAACGAATTAAGTTCAGCATATCAACAAATAATCCAACTGTAATATAGAAAAGCCAGAGAAGGACATGTAAAAACATTTGTGATGGACACCCTCTTAAACACTTGTTGGATTTAGGTGTCAAGATGACAAATACATGGCGTTATGTTTCTGTTCTAAAGGTGGGACTCACAAAAATGATTGAAACGGTTTATTGTTGCAAACGTTTCCAGTTGTCCAGGCTCCAAGCTTTCTTAAAACCACAGGGCCGTTTAAAAAAAAAAACAACATTGTTTCTATCATTTCAACTGGAAACTGTATAAATAACACAATCCAAAAGTATGTGATCCATTTCTGTAATTTATGTGGACCACACCTGAAGGACGCTCGCAAATAAATCCGCTCGTATGATGTTTGACAGATAGACTTTCGCGTTGTTGGAATATAGACGCTTATTACCGGGAGCTGATTGTTTTCTTGAAGAACTTTCATGCCAGATATACAGTACGCAATCATAGTTAACAGGCCAGTCAGTGGGATACTCAGCGGCTGTTTACGACCATACTTTTTTAGTTTATTACCTCTCAGCCATTTAACACTCCTATTGTGGACATTTTCTTGTCCTGATTCCGTCAAAAATGTTCACAGGTATATATCACGTGCGCACACACACACACACACACACACACACACACACACACACACACACACACACACACACACACACACACACACACACACGCACAAGCGGTTTGGATTATGGATCCATCTATGCATTATCTGAGCTGCTCATCCTCACGAGGATTGAGGGGCGTCCTGGAGCCTATCCATGCTGACTGTGGGCAGTAGGCGAGGTACATTCTGATCTGGTTGCCTGCTAGTCACAGTGAACACATTGAGACGAACAACCATCCATGCTCACAATCACATCTAAGAACAATTTAGAGCAGTGGTTCTTAACCTTGTTAGAGGTATTGAACCCAACCAGTTCATATGCGCATCCACCGATCCCTTAGTGAAAAATAAAAATATGATTCAAGAAGTGTTCCTTCAGGTTTTTCCGGTGCAAGATGAGAGTTGCTCAACTTGGCATGACAAATCATGCAGATAGGATGCCGAGTCCCATGACGTTCTGTGATGCATGTAAATCCATGTTGTACATATTCGTCTGGCCACTTTCTTCTTTTGCTCGACATAGCATGTGTTACAACATCACACAAAAAACAAAAAAAATCACACGACGTACTATCACGATGGTCACACGTTGACTACTGAGCGTACTAAATTTCCCGCAGCACTGACTGGAAAAGCAATGTAATGTGATCACCTGCAGCCAGTGACGGCCAAGCGGGCGTATCGTAACTAAATGACATGTTCAGTCGGTGGGTCTCAACCTCCATGGCAGAGGCTCCGTCGAACCCGTGAGACTGATTCACCGAACCCCTGGGGTTCGATCGAACCCAGGTTAAGAACCACTGATTTAGAATGATCACAATTAACCTACGGTGCAAGTTTCGGAAATACAGTTAGAACGTAACCGACATATTCGGAGAAAACTCAAGCAGGCACGAGGAGAACATGCCAACTCCACACAAAAAGGCCAGAGCCTTGGATTGGACCGTGCCGTCCTTTGGATAATGGATGGATGGAATTTATTTTCATTTAACAACGCGATCCATTGTTGAGACTGACAGCAAGCTGACTCACTGTAATTTATGGCACATTCGGAAATTCACTCTTACGTCCATGTGGCACTCTGAGAGTCGGTGTGTTTGGAGAGGTTGAGTGCGCTCCGTTCGCAGTCAGCACTGGCCCACCGTGTCCCCCAGTTGGAGCGCCAAGTGCGTCACGCCGTTTTTTTTGGGCATGCTCAATAGCCGAGAGATTAAGTTGAGCAACGCTCCAAATTTCCGAACGGTCGCAGTAAAACATTGCGCGCGTGGAGATTATTTCTGAATGCGCCCCGAATGCCCCTGAAAAACTAACCCGCCCTTTCCTGTCCTCACAAACAAACACACACACACGCGGGTTACAGCTGCGGCTGGGTGCGTGCACCAAGCCGGAGTCCGTTCGAGAGAGAATGTCTAAACAGCGATCATTTCACACTTAATAAACAAGCTCAAGCGCAATGTGTCTAATGCAAAGAACAAGCCACAGCATGTTTATGATCGACAAGACAAGGTACCCAAGTCATCTACTGTAATGTAATATATCTGCCGGCCTAGCCAAAAAGTACTGGAAAGCCCCTCAAGTGGTTTGCTTCATTGAGCAAACAGGTAACAAAATAAACACGTATGCAATCAGCACCTCTATATATGAGTTTCGACACAATCATGTTGCCTCTCACAGGTAGTCTGGACAAAATAATAGACATCGTTAGAAAATGACTGCTGGTGGAGATATGTGCTGTGCCTTGTTGGTGAATTTGAGTGCACCACACACACCGTGAGAGCATTTAGGACACACTTGACATTTTCCCCTTGTCATATGTGTAATCTTTCTCTCTCTCGGCGAAAAAAAGGTTGATAGGGAAAATCTTGTGTGTGTCCTCTTCTGCAGGAATTTCCACATGGAAAGAGATCAGAGGAAGCTGGTGCAAATAAAACAGATCCCAGTAGCTCCATAAGCAAACACAGGAAATGAGTTCACACAGCCAGGTTGGGACTTTAATTTCTTTTAATTTATTAAGATGCTACATAGTCCAACCAGGTGGAATTTTGCTTTTATACACCAGAGACTACTTGACTAGGAATATTCATCTTCTTCTCCGATAGACTTATTTGTTTACATACATACAAAACAGTTGCTCGACTGCTTCAGGTGATGGTTACTGTAGTGTCTTGCCTGGATCAACAAGTATTTACACGTTAAATTGCCATCATGTGGCTCAGCCTTTTTGCAAAATGGTGGTGTGTCATGGCAGGATAGTAGTGGTACACCTTTATTATTATCATCATTTTTTTAATTTATTCACATTCTGGTCTGCGTTTTTTCTTGTGTCAGCTGTTTCCATGCTTCAGTGAAAAATACATTGTTCTGCAAATACTATATGATGCAGGTCCGACATTCTAATTATTGGGTTGATTTCAGTTCTGTTCTGCCCTCCCCTCAGCAAGTCATCCTCAAATGAACCATTAAGCCAAGATACCGTTTGAGGAACACACACCTTTCAAATTCCTCATAAGGCAAATTCTTTTTTTAAAAATTATTTGTTTTATGCAAATTTGGGCGATCAAACCATTTTGAATGTGATTTATCAATTTTATTAAGTCAAAAATAATCACTGGCTCCAGAACAGTGCGTTCTCAACAAGTGGTCCCTCAAGATCTTAGCTCTATAAGTATATATAGATGCATCAATATAGCGATACAAGAAGATCACACTCTTCACCTTAGTGCAATAAACTTCAAACGTGGACAAGCAAAACTGGCATGTGTGTGAACAAACTACCACGATGGAACTCATGTAGTGGCGATACAAAAAAAAAAAAGAAAAAAATCTGGTGAAAAGCATCTGACAACATGACACCATTTGCTAACATACATTTGTCCGGACAATCACACTTAACAAATGTATGGCTCAATAGGAAAAGATGAGGAAAAGTTGCAAAGATTTTGTTGTCAATGTTGTCACGGAAACAAAATGACCCTCGTTTCTGCATGCACCTTTCATGTGAGTGTAGATTTCAAGGCGTGTGTTCTGTGCATACATCTACGTTTACCGTCGTATCAGCCAGGGGGAAAAACAAAGCTGCCCCAACAGATCACGAAGCAAAGCGTTGGCCTGGTGAATATCAGCAGACGCCCTCGAAAACTGCAGCTGGTTTTCCCAGGCAACGGCATTAACTCTTTACTGCGCTTTAAAAACGCTAACAAAATGAAGGAAAAAAAAATCATAAAAATGACACACCAATGAGAAGAAATAAAAAGATCCGAAAACAGAATTGTGCAAACCTACAAATAATGACATAATACCATAGATAAAAGCAATTAAATTAGATTCCAAAAAGTCAAGACTCAAGATGCAACATTCGGCTGTGAAGACATGCAATGAAGATCCCCCTGCACGCGGGGAGGTAGTGAAAGGAAAAAGTGAAACTGAAAGGGACGGTTTCTTGCACACCGATCGAGGTTGTTTTTCAATCAAAGTGGATTTTAGTGAGTGTCACCTGTCTGGATGATTAGCTAAATCTCTCCCATGAAAGGATTTGATGTGGAAGGCTCCAATTTGGATAGATTGTACAGTGGAGGTGAGGGTTATGTTCCTCTGACCATTGAAAGGAAAAAAAAAACCACCAAATGCAAATTTTCTGCTACACCCCTCGTGAACTTTGGTGAAAAGGGACAACAATGACTTGAATGCGGTGATTAGGCAAGACCTGCAACAGTTTGTTCAGAAGACGGTGAATCATTTTTGTTTTTGTTTGTTCCACCTAGGCATTACCTTTTTTTTCCTTTTCTTCAAACTATAAATGAGGCTCAATCCAAATGCCACGCTCCCAACAACGTCCCCTCTTCCCATTCCTAGCAGATATGGCATCTCTGATCCTAAATCCTGCAAGTCCCCTGCGTTTTATTTCATCCCTCAAGGAGGAGGAAAAAAAAAAAAAGCATGCTGCTGCCCCCGCCTATCCCAAACCCAACTACGACAGCGCTCTACAAGACCAACTTGCCCACGATGATGCCCACCAAAAAGAAGAGGATTATGAGGGCGGCCGAGCGGGCGCTTAGGCCTTCGTCTTTCTTCAGGCCGGCTGAGGAGTGCTGGGAGGACATGACGTTGCTCTTCCTCATCCGCAGACCGTCATCCTCCTGAGGACGGCAGGCACGGAAGGGAGGGTGGGAGGAAGGAGGTGGGTGATTAATGAAATGGTCGTATTCCAGAGCACATGAAATGGAGAAAAGAGATGATTGTTTCGTCATCCAAGGGTTTTTCCTGCAAATTTAAACTTTGGAGATGGCCACCTGCGCTTAATTTCAGGCCACCTCAGGCTCGAACACTTCTGATGTAATGAAATATAATATAGTTATAGTGACAGGGCAGCACTTTATCGGAAACAGTTGGAAGCCGTTCCAAACACCGTCAAAGAAGAGCTACGAATGAAAGATTTTAATTCCTACTGCAAATATGTCGGACAATTTCAGGTAAATTTGTTCTGTAAAGAAGCACGTGTGATTTCTCAGGAAAATATTTAGCCCAATTTATTTTTTTTAATGGTTTCTGTGTTTTTACTTTTTCGGGAAAAAAAAAAATCGCACTGAACTAAAAGGAGTACAGGTACATTGAATTTCACCAAAATAAAAAGCTTATGTGCGGGCTAAGAAATGTGTCAAGGAAATGGCTCAAGACAATAGCCCTGTTCACACGGCACACATTTGGTCTGACGCTGCACCGAAATATTTTGTTGCGATATATTTTACACCGGAGCAAATTTTGTGGAGCGGTCACACGTGCAAAGCCGCTGAGCGTGACAGCTCCGGCGCAGCATCGGTGCAGTTCCACTCGCGGTCACACGTGCAGTTTCTGCTGCGGACCAAAACGACAGGAATGCGGAAGTAAAACAGGTTCGGGTCGGGCTACTCTCTCGCGGACTTTTATTTATTTTTCTTTTAATAAATATTATGGCGGACACTATTCTGTCCTTGTTCAGAATAGATCCACTTGTCGGCAGTCGTGGAATAAAGACGTGTTTACAGTCAATCGTGTGTGCTCCTTATGACTGCCACAATATATGTTTTAAAAAATGTATACTAAAACAATGTGCGGATACTAAACTAAGGAATACTTGTTTTAAAACAAACAATTTGGATAAAACAGAGAATGCGCTGTAATTTAATTGCTATTTAACTGCTAAACAGGAGCTTGGCCAGCCCGACCAGTGCGCACGTATGTTAATTTCGTTTAAACAATCCTATAGAAATAATTTCAGATATCTTTACCTATTTATTTGATTTGAATTATTCTATTTAAAGCCTAGTAAGCCGCAGGATTTCTCTGCGTAATTAAGCAAATGCACATTCGGGCTCGGGCCTGCAAATCGGGCTCGGCTGACGTCACTGCTTTCTCGATTCTCTTCTTGATCGTGAGCGCTGTCTTCACCGCTTAAATCGCCGACACTTTTACCGGGAACGGGGGTGCACGGCCGGGCTTCGTCTGTGTCGCTGGCCCCCTTGTCACTGTCGACCGGGGTCGGATTCCGTGCGTCTGGTAGCGAGCGTAGCGAGGCCACTCCCCCGCAAGCGAGCATTTGCTCTGGAGCAAATTTAATCCAGCTGAGTTCACACGTGCACATTTGTTTCGGCGTAGCGTCGCAAACGAGCATTTGCTCTGGAGCAAATTTTTAAACCACCTCCCTGAGGTGGATCAAATTTGGTCCGGTATAAGCTCTTTAGTGGAGCTACGCCGGAGCAAATGTGCACGTGTGAATGCTCGACTGGATTTGTTTCGGAGTTGCGTCGGACCAAACGTTGCCGTGTGAACGGGGCTAATGCTCAACTATTTAGCCTAATGAAAGTTAATTCACTTTGTTGTTTAACTGTCCACACATGCACTTTTGTTGTATTTTATTTCGAGGACAACATTCCTGTATTTTTATTTTGGTCTAATATATGATTTAAGAAAAATACATAAAATGAATGGACACATTTCACAAAACAAGTGCTTGTTTGAATCAAAGGGGGTAAGTGGGGGGCGGCTCGGAAAAACACTGCATCCTGCTATAATCTGGTGCTCAAAAATCTAGATGGCAGGAGTAGCCAACCGTTATTTGTCTTCTGCAAAGAGGCTGGAGGGGGGCGGCGTTTTAGAGGTGTCCGTTGACGTGTGACATGCACAGTATGACTCATACCAAACAGAATAGTGACCTCACTTCATTAGTCATAACAGTTGATGGTGGTTGAAGACGCACAAAAGTTAGACAGTTCATGGTGCGGATAGCGGTCAGACACTTGCTTCTCCCATGTTTGCATGCACGCCACTCACCCTGATCTGTTTGTTCTCTTCCCGTAGCCTTTGAGCCTCCATCTGGAGCCTCTTGCACTCTTCCATGATCTTCTTCACCTCACCGTCATCCAGGGTGGAGCTCAGTGACTTGGGCGGCAGCGAGGAGGAATCGGACTTCAGTAAGCTGGACGACATCATCTTGTTGGACTCAATGTCGTGCTGGTTACAGAGTTAAATTAAGACGAGTGGTAAGTCGACTACCGCTGATACATTCGGAACCGTGACGGCGGCTGTCAAATCTTAGGAGATCACCCCACGTGTGTTATCCAACCATTTGGTTTTGTTCAGTTTAACAAGAGGAGAAACAAGACAGTACAGTGGTGACATTATCATTGAGCAAGCAAACTTTTTTACAAACCCAATTCCAGTGAAGTTGAGATGTTGTGTTAAAAATAAAGAAAAACAATACAATGAATTGCAAATCACGTTCAACCTAAATTCAATCGAACACCCGACAGCGAAGAGATATTTAATGTTCAAACTGATACAAACTTTTGTGAGTTTTTTTTCGCAAATTATCATTCACTTAGAATTTTATGACTTCAAAACGTTCCAAAACAGCTGGGACAGGTGGCAAAAAAAGACAAAGAAAGTCGAGGAATGCTCATCAAACACCTGTTTTGAAGCTCCCACGGGTGAACAGGCTAACTGGGAACAAGTGGGTGCCGCGATCGTGTATAAAAGGAGCTTACTTGAATTGCTCAGTCATTCACAAGCAAAGATGGGGAAAGGCACACCTGTTTGTGAACAACTACGTGAGAAAAAAACCCTCAAAACAGTTTTAGGACAATGTTCCTCAATGTACAATTGCAAAGAATTTAGGGATTTCATCATCTACGGTCCATAATATTGTCATATATGTTGAACACAATGTCCCAACTGCATTGGAATTGGGTTTGTCATTCGTGTCTCATATTCACACGTTTACAAATTAAGACGAGTGTTTATTAGGCTGATAAATTGAAAAGAAGGTTGAGATGTTGACAACGCATGGGGGCACATACGAGTCTCAACTAGTTCGTGATTTGGGGAAAAGAGGGTGAAGCCAAAAAAAAAAAAAAAAAAAAAAAAAAAGTGCTTACTGTTTTTTCGTTCTCCACTGGCATCTCAAAAACACACCTCAGCTTGGAGTCCATCAGCTCCTCCGGCTTCGCCTCCTTCCACTAAGGAGAAAGACAGGCATGCGCGCAGGCACATGCAGACAGACAGAGAGACAGACACACACACACACACACACACACACACACACACACACACACACACACACAATAAGGACAGAAGAGAAGGATAAACTCAAATCACGACCAACTGTCAAATAAGGCATTGATTTCACTCATGACAGCACAATGAACACTCACCACTCCTTCCATGTCGGTCATGTCTGGGGGCGCGAGCATGGACTGAACCATAAACTTGTGTTTGCTCTTCTCGTTGGGGTCGTAATCAAAAGGCTGCAGCATGACTGAAAGATGCAACAGACAGAAATGGAAACACGATAACACAATCTGGAGGCAAAATTTTGAAAATCAACCCCTGTGGATCAGAAAGCCAGTCCAAAGGCCCATTTAATGTCTTTATTTGGTTCATTTTTTTAAATTTTTATTTCTTTTACATTTTTTTTGGGGATGTCTGTGTTGAAGGATCGGAATACAGTTTTTGGGTGACTGCGTATACTTCACAGAGGTCTCGCTGGAACCGCGTTAAACCGGGGCATATCCAACTTTGATCAGCAAAATAGAATGCAATATAGTAAGTGCCTAGCGAGAAAATTATATAAACTAATGTTAGACACACACCTATGTTGTATTAATATAAGGGGTGAAACAAGTCCTTGAGTAATTCGGGTGCCTTGATTTAAAAAAAAAAAAAAAAAAGCATTTTTTCTGCCTCGAGCACTCACTTATGTGTACACTGCCAAGATGAATTCAAGCTAACCAATATGCTTTTATTTTATAGTTGTTCCTGGAGGTGCGTTGCGGCATCACGGCTGACTTGACTCGTCTTCCAGACTCTGTTTAATTGTAATTGTTCCAGCTCCGGCCTTCCTGTGTGGAGTTTGCATGTTCTCCCCGTGCCTGCGCGAGTTTTCTCGCCTGTGGTATTATTATTGTGAAATAAAATGTGTCATAATAGATTTTTTTCCATATCACCCAGCACTAATAATTATAGTAAACGTTGATTAATCAAAAATGTCGCACCAATTTTTTTTTTCCACGTTAACTTGCTTTGCCCATCTCAAAAATCAAGCTCGCTCACTCATTCACTTTTCCCGTACAATCTTCGGTAGCAGTGATCATCACCCTCTCTGATTTGCCCATCCAATCACATTCAGAAACCTTCATGGCCTCGCATACAAACAAACCTGCAGTTATGTTACGCGGGTTTATAAATTTCACAAGACCCGCCTCTCCAGCCATGAAGGTGCCTGAGTCTGATTTGTGATTGGATGGAAAATCGCAATTGTGTCACTTGACCAATGCAGCGTTTTCAAATATCTGCATTCTCAATTCGATTATCCAGGATGAAAAGATGATAGTCAAATGGGGACAGTGGGCTGACTTGGGCCCCCCCAAAATAACCGGTGCCTTTAATCTAATTGCACGTTAATGTTACCATGACAGCGAAACAGTGACAGGTCTACAAATGCCCCGAGGAGTTAATCGTTCTAACAGCTTCCAAGCCCGTTACCCACCGCCTCTTTCTCAGCATTACATATCCCCCTAACAAAAAGCAGGTGCTGCCCTGGTATTCCACTTCCACCGATGGCCACATCAGTCGCTGGTGTGCTATTTGATGTTGTTACACAGCTGCGAAGGTATTTTAAAGCTGTAACATTGATTTACAATGATCACTTTCTTAAGCCGGCCGGGTCTGGCAGTGCATAGAGGATGGCTCAAATACTTGCGAATGGAGGGACCATTTCTCCTTTGACCATGTTTTTATTTTATTTTTTTTGTAATGTGGTTGAAATTTTGAGACGTATTGTGACATTGGCGCCATCTAACTCCAAAAATCCTGTTCTGTGGCTTTCCCAAAAAATCAAATGACCGACTAATGTCACAGCCGGTGTAGCCATCAAGAGTTTTCGGTTGTGTCACAAGCCAATTCACCCTTGATCAGAGATGTAGCGCAACGTTACAGCCATCAAGGCGGCTCAGGATCACAAAAGCAGAAACAGATGGCATGAACAGATTGGGAACGTCCTGTTTCAATCAAGCCCAATTTACAAAGCAATCCAACTTGGGTCCGAGGGGTCGCCACTGTAGAACGGAGGCAGGAAAGCGTGTAAATACTTTGGGCAACACAGTATCACATTAAAAGGTCCTTAGCCAAAACCCCAAGGAAGGAAAACATTCCCGTAGTAAGGGAATTTGGACAGGTTGGGGGATTAGAGAGAAAAAAAGAATCCGCATGAATTGGTGCTTTTTACCCCACAATGGTCAATCGTTTATAAAGTGCAGGGTTTCATTGTACAGGTAACAAGGGGAAGCAGGATGATCACTAGCCTGCACGTTCATGGTGAATGGAACATTAGAAGGGTGAACATGGGGGGATAGGAAGCCTTCCTTTCCTCTGAATAAAAAAGGACAAAGAGTCATAAATCGACCTACAAATCAGGTGAGGAGAGACTCATCTGTTTTCTCTTTCAAAGGAAAATATTTTCACTAACCAATGTCAACCGCAGTCCACAATAGTGAATATGAAACTTCTGAATGTAAAGTAAACAATTCTAAGGATGCACCAACAACAGAACAGATGATGATTTATTGTACGGTGGTGACAAAACATCTCACAACTTAAACAGCTGAAAAAAAACCCCTGAATATTACATGAAAAATATGGTTCAAGAGTCAAACAAAGGACTCAGTAGTTTTACAGTCCACTATTTCTCACAGGAAAATACGTATTTGCAATATGAATGAAATTAAGAGAAAATGGCATCTTGAATTTTTTCAAGATGCTATTTGTTCTAAGGGTCCACTGTGCTTTAATGGACTCAATGCACACAGGACTTCAGCATTTGGTGTAAGATAGCAGGTTAAAAGCCGCTTGGCATGCAAATGCATCGTGAGTGACAAAATAGAAAACATGTTAAAACCCAAAACCTAGTTGACACTGAACTGAACTGAATCCCCCCTACTCCCTCCTAAAATTGTATTGGAATCACAAACAAAGGAGACCGAGCATTGTTTGGGTACTTTATATGAAGACCGGTCCAACTCTTCCCTCCAGTTTTGAACCATTTTCCCCAAGGTTGCATTCATATTCAATTGCACCTTGTTTGTCTTGTATTTGACATGTCAAGTATATTTCAAATGTTTTAGTTTTTTTTCCAAAGGTCAGCTGGCATTCCCAACAATGACATGTCACACCTGGGACAATAACACACATCCACATCACTTTTGGTTTTCCCAAACGTTCCCACAGTTTTAGCTGTCCAGAATCCCAACCTCAAAAAAAAAAAAAAAAAAAAAAAAGTTATAGTAATCTCTTGTAATCGAGTTAATAGAGTTGTTTGATTAATCATCTCAGCTCTGTTTCAGCTGTGTTCTCACAATAATTGATAGAAAATGCAACAAAAAGTGAAGCAGTGACATGCTGCTATTGTACCATACTGACAAACACCCTATTCGAAAGCAGCAATCCAGGACTCCTATTCATGTAAATTCTGTCCAACGGCATTATTTTTCCTTTTAAATTATTAAAAGTGATGCATTAAGCTGCATACATTAATGGAAGTAAATGTAGAGTTTTGGACAAAGTGTCCATCGAGAGTCACTATTGTCACGACTTGAGCAAATAGAAGAGATGTCCCAACCCGATCATGTGGAAATCGGGCCCGATCATGTGATTTTCAGGCAATCAGGAATCGTGGAGGAGAGAGAAAAAAAAAGATTGTTTCTCTCTTCCTCCTCACTGCAGCCAAGGTTAAATTGTGTTTGGATGAACAAGGACACACAAACAAGTTAAAAAAAATTTGGGTAAACCAAAAGATACTTCCAAAATAGTGCCTCTTGTCTGATGTAGAGCCATTGTGACACATTGAAACAATGTGAACATTATTTGGTGACAAGCAACCTTGTTCCCCACTGGTTGCATTTAACGAGGTCATTGGTCAATAGTGTCGTTTGTGGAGGTAGCGGTGTGCAATTGTCATTTTAGCCTGCATACACCAATAAATTATGACGTAAAGGTACTGGTTAACAATTAGAAACATCAAATGCACTCAAACAGAAGAATCCCTCATTCTATGTTAATGCTTATACATATGGTTTGCGTACCCAGGAAATAAAATGTATCATGGCACTATCCAATTACAGTGCATGAAAATACATTTCCATAAAGCGTCATGCACATTGATTGTCTTATTGATTAATCTTAACATTCCATTATAAATGTCATTTGTGTATTTGCTAATTTTATGCTAAACACCCATGAAGATTTTCCAACCCAGCCGCTGGGGGGCAGTGCCCTCCCCTGGGGGTGCACTGTTCCCCAGTGCCGGTCCCAAGCCCGGAGAAATGGGGAGGGTTGCGTCAGGAATGGCATCCGGCGTAAAACTTTTGCCAAGACGACCATGCGAGTTGGTAGGACGGTTTGCAGGGGCGGATGGAAATTACTGTCTCGCTGTGGCGACCCCTGAATAGGGATGTGCCGAAAGGAGTAAAACACCCATGAAGATTTTCCATACAAAAAACTATGACCAGAAATCAAACATGTCAGATGGACCAAGAAACATTTTGAGTTGTTCAATAAATGTATCATCAAATTTAGAGCTAACCCCCCCCTCAAAAAAAAAGAAAGAGAAAAAGAAATAAGCTCGAACTATTTTGAGAGTGTTACAAAAAGCAATTGGCACTGATTTAGTGGATTGGCGCATATAATTAAATGTAAACCAATATAATAACATGTAAAATTGCTGCTTTAGCTCTCTGTGTGTTTTCGGATTGAGTTTAAAGTGGTTTTACTCATTTTGAAATGTCTTAATGGTCTTGGGCCATCTTATTTATCTGACCTCCTTCTATCATATCAACCGTCGCGGATCCCGAGGTCCCCTCTGGCACTGGCCTTTTAATTATTGCCAGTGTGAGGACCAAAACACGTGGTAAGGCTGCATTCAGCCATTTTGGTCTCCAGCTATGGAATAGCCTGCCAGAGAGCATCAGGTCTGCAGAGACCGTTGATGTTTTTAAGAGGTAGCTGGCTTAAGGCGCATCTTTTTAGCTTGGCTTTTAAATAACTTATTTATATACTTGTTTAAATTTATTAATTTCCCCCTCATATGGTTTCTCTGTGCTGTTGCCATGTCTTTTATTAATATCAGGATCATTAGGGTGTGCGTGCAACTTTTGTATGTTCGTGTGCATGCGAGTGTGTGTGTGTGCGAGCATCGGTTTGCTTGTGGGGATATATATTTGTGTATGTTGAGGGGAGGGGGGGGGTCCTCTTTTTATGTGGTAAGTTTGAAATGTTTTAACTGTACAGCCCTTTGAGTTACATTTTTATGTCTGAAAAGTGCTGTATAAATTGATTGGTTGGTTGAGAACACATATACTGCACACATTTCTGTAGCTAGATACATGTCCGTATGCATATTTCTATATTAATTTGAGACCATTTGTATGCATAATAATGCCGAGCTATCGGATCAGGACTAGGTATCAGCAGATCCTTCAAACCAAAGCCTCGGACGTGTAAAATGTGATCGAGACATTCCGAGTTAAAAAAATGCCTAAAATCACACTCGGCAACATGCACCTCATCTAAACCGCACTTGCAATTATTATGATTACGTAATAGGTGACTTTCTGTCACGGAGGGCAAAAGGCCAGCCCAATGTGAAACTGAACTACAGTGAGGAAAAAAAAAAAAAAAAGATGTGTGAAGTGAAGCAGACTCGTTGGACCGTAGGGAAACCCTGCCAGCATACAAGCACTAACGTTTACAATATGTATTCATATTCAGGCCCTTCAGCTGAGCAGGATCTCTTTCTCCTGATTGTAGTCTCATGGGTACACCATGTCCAAATGTGAATCAAAAGTTTAAGAAAACAGGATTGCAGGGATTTAACACAGCCCACAGCACTTAAACTTGCCTCCCCGCGGAGAGACAGGGCTACAGGTCAGTGGGTGTCTAATAGCACCGTTTGTTGTGCTAATGACAAGCTAATGAGGCTTATTCGGCAATAAAATAACTGTTATTTTATGCCATTGCGCGTTATTTCGCTCACGGCCTCCCTCAGGATGTGAGCGCATCTCAGAATGTCAGACAAGAACGTTCTCTGAGGAAACTTGGTGTTTGTGGACAGAAATTTTTGAAACATTCGCGGCACATATTTTACCACTAGATGCTACATAACACCGATTCCAGCGCAGCAACATTCCTGCGGTTAAGGCTACATTTAACATACTTACAGCCAGGTCAAGCATGTGGAGATTGCTTTGCTTGATTGGAATTGTGCAACAGTAAATGGAGCCCAATATCATGATATTGTCTTATAAGTAGTATGCTGCAGGTATCTCCAACCAGTGGGCCGTACACGGTTACGGGGCTGCACAGAGACTGAACAAACTTTTTTGTCAACTTTTTTTTTCCCTGCCCTCGTACACAAACAGTAACCAAAAAAAAAAAAAAGCATAATGGCAGCAGCAGGATGGGAACTGGCGATCAGCAACGAGGGCAAGGGCGCAAATCGAAGCCAAATCTTGGCCCGCTAAAATATTCTGTCCTATTATGCGTGGTTTGTGCTAATAATAACTTTGTTCATCATGGCAACTGCAGGATACAACACACACCAACATTGTGACTTTTATTTTTCGCAGAACGGCATATGGCCAGCTTATGCTAACAAGCCATTTTGTTATTTTATGTTAAGTGATCTGTAAAGTGCTTTGTTACAGCTGTAGCTGTCATGAAAGCGTTATATAAATAAAGATGTACTGTTTTGTATTGTATTGTAAGCCAAATACAATAAAACGCACAACTGAAATTGAGCCTGGCAATGATGTTGTGCCTTACAATGCACTACGCTAGGGAACAAGAGATGAGACTGGCCACTTCTTTGAAGAGAAAAAAAAAATTGCAGGACTGCAACTAACTACAACTACATTCTATGTGATAGTTAAGTGGTATTTTATTAATCAGTTGTTTACAATATTTTCCATGCCGGTGCGCCAAAATACAGTATTCACATGAAACCTGTCCAGGAGACCCGTCTACTGTGACATCACGTTTGTATGCTGTGTGCTAAGGTATCGATGTTAAAGGGAAAGCGGTCAAGGGCACACACGGTCGACTGCGTGAAATAACAGCGGTAAAAGAGTTGCCAAGTCCATTTTGTGATCACAACAATGGTGAACAACTGTGCCGTTTATGATGACTCTAATCGCTCGATTACAGTCAAGACATCATCCTTTCTGATACCAGCAGAGATTTTTGGTGTCAACCAGGAGGAAAAAAAAATGAAGCAATTATAGGCAATTCTAAGTATGTTTAGGTGTGGCATCATTACGCTCCTATTTTTGCCTCCTTAAGGACAGCTTGCGTGATGCTATTTTAGAAACCGCTCGTTTTCACAAGATTTTCACGACACAGCAAACATTTCCTATGAAGTCGCCTTGGTAACCATACATCTCGGGTTTAGGTCAGCGCGACGCTGTGGGTTTATGTGACGTCAAAAGAGGACTGTACATAGTAGCAGAGCCGATTTCAACCCAGCACAAATGCTGTGAGGAGGAGGGAATTCCTGCTTGGGGCTGTGTCTGTAAAAAGAGTCGGTTACTATGGTGACGCGCTAATTATGGCAATTCAAAAAACGACCTGATCTATTTATATCTGACATAAAACCCCCCAGAATACACAGACAATTCTTTCAGTTTGTGGAAAAAGCGAACTTTGGGTTTGAAAAGGTGGGACAAATTTCATGTTAACCTCAACTGTGACAACTGGGCAACGACAGTAGCATAGTGGACCGTGTAATTTTGTCGCCCACTGCTGACTGATTTCTGAAATTACAGCGTGTGAGGTTGAGGAAAAGTATTTGTGAAGTACACATCCCTACGTCTGCCCAAAGAAGACAAGCAAAGGTAAACTATAGAAACAGCGTCGACCACTGGTCAAGAACCTGAAATAGTATAATGTGTATATTGCATGTATGAAATCAATTCTACATGACGTGCCGTTATATTTCTGTTCGTGATAAAAAACAATCAATTTGAGTCCTCATATTCATGAAATGAAAGCCAAACTTAAATTATTCAACTGCAACAATCCAAAAATGCCATCTGTGTCGTTGCACCGTCGTATTTTTATTGCGTATACTCTCAGTGCCGTGCAAAGGTGCGTTGATGCCGATGCACGGCTACAGACGGACTTCTACCCATTGAAAAGCCAATCGCCAAGAGGAGGAGAGGTGATACGGGAAAATGAACGCCCACCTGCTTCATTTGGATGCCCCCTTCCTCCCTCAACTCTCCGGTAGCACAGCGACATGACAGGGCTAGAAAGCGTCACTTTCATCTTCACACCGACACGGTTGTCATCCATGAGCGATGTTTGTCAAGATAGTTCATGTAGGACATACTTTTAAATGTTCTGTTTTCTTTGGAAGCACTTATTTTCTTGGCTTTATCAATGGTTTAGAGCAGAACCCAGCCGCTGGGGAGCAGTGCCCTCCCCTGGGGGTGCACTGTTCCCCAGTGCCAGTCCCAAGTCCGGAGAAATGGGGAGGGTTGCGTCAGGAATGGCATCCGGCGTAATACTTTTGCCAAGACGACCATGCGAGTTGGTAGGACGGTATACAGGGGCGGATGGAAATTACTGACTCGCTGTGGCGACCCCTGAATAGGGACGTGCCGAAAGGAGAAGAAGAAGAATCAATGGTTTAGAGCAGGCATAGCTCAATAAATCTTGGTGTCAGGTGTCGCACATCGGCAACTGTGACATGTATTTTGAGCGACAAAAAATATATATGTTTTGATGTAATGTTAAAAGAGCACCATAACATACAAATTAAAATAAAAACAAATTGAAATTCAAAAATCAATGTCACAGAGAGCCACAGCAGAAGGATGAAAGAGCTGCGGGTTGCCGATTTCTGGCATCGACAATTGAGTATGGTCTAAATATGCTATATTTGAGGTGTTTCCATCATGAAAGGGGAAGTGAATTCCAAAATATTGTTTACAATAATCCGTTGTATCCACCCCCAATAGTCTAAACACGGCATTCTGATCAATATTGCACTTGTGGACTATATATTAAGCAGCAAAATCCACGCATTTCAATCCATCTCAAGGGGCGGCCATTTTGCTACTTGCTGTCGACTGAAAATATTGCTCACCTGTTTTCTGAAGCTGAGCCGTGATTGGTCGTTACCCTGAGGCACTGTGATGTCATGTTCAGTTAACAGCAAGCGGCAAAATGGCCGCCCCTGAGCTGGATTTTGCTGCTTAATTCCTATTCCACTAATGCAATATTAACCAGGATAGCGTGTCGAGTTGAGTGGGGCTGCATTGATTTTTTTAAAGGAAAATTTGGGGGTTGACTTCCCTTTTAAATACCCCTTTTAATAAAAACAGCCATTTTGGGGATACAGTATATGTCACTTGAGACATGATTGGAAATATAAATAGTCATTAAACTGAAACTGGGCACTTAGACCCACATGTAAATCCAGCTGGACACAAAACAGGACATGTAATTACCCGAGACGTTGATGGAGGTGCCTGCATCGATGATTCCGCTATTTGGCCGTACGCAATACCGGCGTGGTGCAGTCGTCTTTACCTTGAAGCACACATTCCGGTCGGTTGGGTTGGCGAGTTTGAGATTGGTGGTGACCACGTCAGAGAATGGACCTGCAAGAGAGGCGGACATGTGAAGGAAATAAAGGTGTGGCTTGTTCAGGTCTGATTGAACTATTACTATTAACCATAATACTCTTTGGTTCCTCCAAAATATCCAACTTTACAACACACATTGTAAACATTCAAAATTCCATTGCAGGTAAATATTTGAACAGAAGATGAAGAGGTGACACTATTTTGGATTTCTCCTAGCAGTATTCCACCTGGCTTGTGACTAGACTACTCAGTCTTTCCTAACGGAGGTCAATTGACCAAAACTGCATTGACTGGGAGTGACAGCTAGCTATGAGATCAAGGTGCTTGTTTATGATTAATTTCTATCTATTTTTATTACTTGTGTTCAACAGCCACTACAAGAACCAGCTCATTTATCCCAGAATGATACATCGATTTGGGCTTGGATCTGAGTGACTCTTGTCATGCTCCTGCTTAAGATATTAGGGATTCACCAGATGCAGGAGGCCACCAGCCCCACGACACTCAATCCCCCATCACTTTGACTTATCATCACTTTGGTTATTTCTGACAGCTTCCCCTGGACCTGAGAAAAGACTGCAGGATTTTCATAAACTGTCTCGTGAAATGTATACTGGTGCCCTGATGGTTAAAACTGCTGAGTATATTAGTCACCTTCTGTCAAGTGAGGGGCCTGACAGGTACTGCATCAGTACCGGATCGGTCAAATTAGTCAGGACATGGGAAAAAAAAAAAAAAAAAAATCAATGAAATCTCAGCAACAATCATATTGAGTGCTCCTTCCATTGACTGATGACGCGGTATACACATTTTGTAAAATACAATCAATTGCTTAATTGTATCATCAATAACCTATTTGCATAGTTGCCTAATGCCAAACTCAGACTAACTAAAACAGATACATTACAATTTTGCTGAAAATCCAAATTGTAATGTTAAGAAAAATCCCCCTGTACCTGCAACTCGAGTTAACATGCGGCTGTTCTGATTTTGCTGCCTCAAATCAACGATAAAATGTTTCCACATTCCCCCCTACAATTTGCTCACGTACTAGTCATTGCCGTTTAGTACGTACATTGATTGAGTATTTCTATGGGTGTTTGAGATGTCCTACTATGTGAGTGGTCACCGAATGCACCTTGAGTATTTGCTTTCTTTTGCTTCTCCACGCAGCTATCGATCGTTGCATGCAATCACTTTGTTTATAAAACTGAAAAACCACAAAGGTGTGTTCTTTCAATGAAAAGAAGTAATGTCACACCGCTTTCACTCTGTGAGTAGGAGCAAAATGCCATTCAGGGGCAGTCTGAAGCCCTCGAATGCTGACAACTTGAGAATTCCATGACCTTTGTTATGTTTGATTCCACGTGGTCGACGACCACTATAATTCAAAAATTGATCTGTTTGATATTTCAATTCGGCTGAATGCTTTCCCCCATTGTTAACCTAGCTAACCGGTTTCACACACATTTTATTTTTACATCTCAATGCACCAACAGTGTCGACTATTAAAGCCACTCTCTTAAAACATAGTTGATGGGCAGATGTATTTTGCACATGGCTCTACTTCAAAATTAGCATCAGCTCCCAGATAATATTTCATTAGGCTCAGCAAACATCAGAGTGACAGATACTTCCCCTCTCCTGCGAACTAAAGATGGTTGTATGGTGGTTCAGACCCCTTCAAGTTAAAGCTTTTACTTGATGGCTATGCCACAGACTGCTGCACCTGATCTGCTACTTTGTTCATGTTACATCTTGGTGAAAAATCTAATGTTGCCTCCAGCAAAGATTTTATCTTCTTGATATTCTATAGTTAGTGAGCCAGGTGCAGGGTTGTACACTAACTATTTGCACTTGTAGCACTTGTACGACTAACTTTTTCAGTTGGTCGGACTATCACAGGAAGTGCTCGCACACCTTTTTTGGAGCGGGACAGAATTACCAAATTTGCTAACGTATAATCGTCTCAATTGGCATACTGTATTTTTTTCAAAGATATATTTGCAAAATGTTTTGCTGTAGCAAGCTGTTTTTGGAACAAATATTGGTCGGAGCATGAAAATACGCACACTAAAAAACTGGCCGCATTTGTTGCATACTGGAAGCATTGTTGAGCCCTTGGTGTGCTTTTTTTACTCAAATAATGATCAAAACTATAAACTAGGGCTGAATGAGTTTGACAAATCATTCCTCAATATTGTGATATGCAATTATTTTTTTCAAGGTCTTCTTTGTTTTGTTTTATTTGTTTATATTTATGTCTTTGTCTTTTTATGCAGTTCAGTTTTGCTGCCCTTATTTTTAGCTGTGTGTGTTTCAATGCACTGCATGTTTGCACTGTGGTTGAGAGGAAAGTAATTTCATCTGTGCTGTATGTTGCACATATTTACATATTTGACAATAAAGCTTGACTTGACTTCTTTCCATTTATTGTTTTACCAAACAAGAAACGCATTCATCAGTATTACAATAAACAATATCAGATTGCAGGTTAGGCTTACATTAAAATAAAGGCAAATGAACCATGAATGAATATGAAAGACAGTTTATCTTCTTCAGTTAGAGTAGTTAAAGAAAGGCTTCATTCATTTTACATTTGCGGCTTGACTCATAGTAATTAGTTTGTCTTGTATAATACAAAAAAGGGCCGCATATTTTACAGTTTACTTTGACTTTATGATCGCTGTGAGGGCCGACAAACATTACGCAAACATTCTTAACGTTTTCCAATGCTGTAAAAATGTCTAGAATAAATATTACATTTCAACATTTCTGTCATTGAAGATATGCATCATAGCCTTCGACACACGTTTCTATTAGCAGGGCAGGATGCCAGGCGGGTGGCTGTTGTAAAAAAAAAAAAAACGGCATTTCATGTATATTTCACCGAGGGTACTGGCAAAGAATGGGAACCTGGAGGGCCAAGAGAGGCATTTTGAAACGGTACGCGTGAGCTACGATACTTAACAGGCTGCAAAAGTGCGTTGCATGCCTCCGCGTCAGGCTGTTGCTCATCATGGCATGCGTGTGTAAGTGCGTGCGTATGCGCGCATGTGCGGTAATGGGTCGATCGCGGGAGGTTGGTTGATCGAAAAGTAGATCTTCCGTCAAAAAAGGTTGGGCACCCCTACTCTACAGGATGCAACGCAGGGAAAAAAAAATTAATCGTGAAGGCTCATTTTGTATTTGTAGCCAACTGATAATAGGCTAATATAGCTAATATAGATTCATACAGCTTGTATTGCTTTCATTATAAGGCTGATATGAGGCTTTTATTTTTTTACGGCTCCAGACATACTGTATTTGTTTTTTGTTTTCTTGGTCCAATTTGGCTCTTTCAACATTTTGGGTTGCCGACTCCTGATGTATTTTGATGAAAGCGTTTCACAGCTATTAACACCTGCGGGGACAATTTCATAATAGATCTCCTTAAAGTCCTGACTGATTCCTTTGGCATAAGAAGATATGAAGCAATTTCCTAAATTACAATCCCCTTTCGCATTCGACCTAGTGACAATGCTGGTACTTGTGAAAATGAGTATTTTCAGGTTGCAGTCTAATTCGTGAGTGTGATATGTCTTGTTCAGCACTGCTATTGTCTAGTGTTCCAAATTTGCGCTGATTGATTAGCGGATGCCTCTTTACATCATTTGGACCCCAACATACAGTATAACAGTCCCACTATGGGTGAAAATAAGTACAGAAAAGGTAAAGTGAGCATACACGTCCGATTACCTCATCACTTCAGAAGAATATCAGCTAAGTTATTGAAAGCATGTGATAAGGCAACGTAGAAAAATACTATTTCTAAATTTTTACGACACAAAATTGAAATAGAAGACAACAATTGCAGTGTGATACGGTTGAAGGGGTGACTATGTAAAAGAAGGAAGTACTGAACAAGAAGTCTCACACTGATAAGATTGACAATGCCATATCCAAATATTGGTATTAACCCCTGCCTATTAAGTAGTCATTATGCAAGCAAGATAGTCTCACACTGATAAGATTGACAATGACATATACAAATACTGGCATTAACCCTTGCCTATTAAGTAGTCATTATGCAAGCAAGATAACATGAAAATACCACTGATGGCCATTTGTTGTATGAATTAATTTATGAAAAATGTTAGGAGTAATATTAACCATTTTAGATCATGTGCTTTGTTAATATTACAATGTAACAAAATGTTCTTGAAAATACACATTTTTACCATTTGTGTCAAGACTTTGATTTGCCTGTATAATTCAAATCCCTGTTTTTAAGCATATTGCCATTAGTATAATAAAATGAAATTATATTTCTTGAAAATATAAGGACATCCTGTATCAATGTAAACAAATACTGCAGTAATTATAAATTAAAAAGTGACAATGAATTGTTATTTTTTAATTAAAATCAACTAAATGTTGCTTTTGCTAGAAGGAAAAGCAACTCAAACTAATACATCTGAAATGTATTTGGTGTTAATCAGACAAACTTTATTTGGTGGCAGGTTTTACACGAATTTAGATGTAACTGGTTAATTTTGAACACAGCTTGGGGTGTGCTAAAAAAATTTAAACAGGAATAAATCATTGCAGGCCGCTTCACAATACATGTATCAGTATAGAAGCGGCAGAATTGATATTGCACATTCATTCTTAACGTTTCCTGGCGTGTCTCTGAAAATTGCTCCTTGCTGTGCAGTGCACACACATTTCGACCAGGCACAGCACTGGCGGTAAAACGGAAGCGCTGCTAACTGTAGAAAAAGAAAGCATATTTGACATGCCGCGTAATAAAAATATAATTTGGGGATACGTATGACTGTCTTCTTAAAATAGTATGCAATGTTAAATATCAGGATATGTATCACCTTGAAGGTCATGTGTCACGACACAGATTGTATCGTGAGGCCTGTATCATGATACACATTGTACCATTGCAATACCTAGCCCTAGCTACATGCCAGTTGTAATACTGTGTGCACACTTGGGCAACTACATTATTTTAGTTTAATTTATCTTTGTGGCTCGTAACTATCGTTCACATTTTTATTATTATTTCGTCATAAGTGTCCCTGTTATCTCTTCTATGACTAAGACCCGGCATTAGAACAAGGGTGTGTAGACTTTTGCTATCCCTGAAGGCGTCAACTTGTCAAGCCGACTCGGGCGAGCTAGCCAATCAGAGGGCGAGCTAATGTTAGCCGGCTACACCTGCTCGAGAAGTCGAAATTAACAAACTGTCCAAAAGACATGCGATTTGAAACACATTTCCGTTATTCGCCATTATGGTGGGGAATTCACCAAATTTTGTGTCTGCTTTTTACTTTAAAAGGGAAGGTCCCGTGGGGGGAAATGTACGACAGGGCCTTGTGTATATTAGCCGTCGGATGCTAATTCGGCTATCTGCTGTCACCTGACGCGCAGTCACTCGCGAAGCAACCGGATTGTCTCCGTAGTCTCCTCAACAGCAGCAAAAAAATGGCCCACAGAATTATCCGACTACAACGTTTGGAGTCCTAACCCTCCCGTCCGATCCACAGGGCCCTCCTCCCTGCCTCCTCACCTCGGAATTTCAGTTCGTGTTGAGGCTCCAAGAGCAGAACCTGTTCTGGCCTGGCCATGACCCAACGAGCTGGAGCGGCGGCGATTTGGGCTGCGGACGCACTCGTGGAAGGTTCTTGGATGTCACGGACTCGGTGACAAGACGAGCCGGCCCCCCGGTCACCACTGGAGCTAGCGACGGCTGTTGTGGTGCGGCAACAGCGGGCTGGAAGCTGAGAGAGAAGCAGGCCAGTGACGTCACTGCCTCTGCATTGCCACCCAGCGGGGAGGGTGACAGGGTGACGAAGGGTGACGGACGGGGTGCTGCTGGATAACACCCAAGCAACGACAGGCTCTGTGGGGGCTACTATGATGTGATGAGAATGTACAAATGTCACTCCAACAATTATATAGGCCTGAGTGTGTCTTTCCAGTACTTCTAAAAAAGTACAGTACTTTTAATATTTCTGTAAGTACATTGAAACAGAACGCACAGTTTGAGTTGAATAAAAATTGGACAGCAGAAAACAAACCAAAACACGAAATGAAAATGCAGTGTACTTAAATGTTAAATACAGACAAACTCTAAACAACACATGGACTGAATTGGATAAACACACACACACACACACACACACACACACACACACACACACACACACACACACACAAACATCTAAGGCACTGTAACATGCACCCATTATGAAGATTCCCAAATCCCGACATGTCATTGCACTGTCTATGGTGGTTTCCAGTGTTGTCGTTGATATGAGCAAATATCAGCTGTCTCTCAGAGCATGAAGTGTGTATTCTGCTCATATTCAGTAATGCTGTATAACTTTCCCATGCCCGCAGCATAGCTTGGCGTCCTTGAAGCAATCATCACTTAAAATTGGAACACTCCCTACTGGAGACACACAAACATTGGAATGCACCAGTTGATACAAGCTAAGAAACGGTTGAAATGAAAGTTATGATGTCACAACCTGTGTCTTAGTACCGCCCTTCTGATAATATAAATATGATGTGAATCCCTTCCTGCTTCGCACTCGTGACCACCGCAGCCATTGTCTGTAAACCGTGGGTGCCCAGAATACAGTTTTCTGTTATTAAAAGCTTCGAAGAAACTGTTCGACTCCAGCCTGTATTTGGATAACCAACATCCTCCTTGTCCGAAATTCAACGAACACGCGGGAGAAAGAAGGCCACTTTCCCCCAACATTACCCAACATGATGTTGTTGCACAAAGCAGTGCTATTATTTTGTCACTGATATCGGCAAAAATTAGTTGTCTCTTGTGGGGGGACCCTAGAGCTTGGGGCCCTAAGGCCCTGCGTTATCTGCCCAATTGCAACATCTGAAAACAAATTTTTTCTCACTATTATTTAATTGCTGATGCTATTGCACTCATTATAATGTGGTCAGCAGGATGGCAGTGTCACTCACAGTCGAAAAACAAAGAAATATGACTTACATGTACTGTAGTCAATTATGTTATGTAACAACCCATAGTACTGTACCTAATAAATCAAAACACCTTCACCTGTCAAACTGGCTTTCCACTCATATTTTCCTGCTTAATAACCAAAATACAGGACCAAATATTAATAAAATACTTTGCCAAGTAGATAAGAGTGCAATATCTCCTTCCAGTCCAGTTTTATGCCTGGCATTTAATTTAAAAAAAAAAAAAAAGCACATTAAGTGTGTAAGAGTGAAACAAAGATGCACAATTTTTGTCAATCTTTTATTAACAGAAACTGACAATTCCCTTTGTACACATTTGGAAATACACTGCAAACAAGTGTATTTTTGCAGGCATCTAGTCGCAGTCGGTATGTAACACATTGAAAAGGCAAATATAATTACCACAATGACAGTGCTGATATTATCGAAAATGTATATGCTCAACATTGTCACTAAACAGTTTCAATACAGATTATAGTCATTTAATTTTGTGCAATGCAATGCCATACGAAGTAGAATATACTGTACATAACGGTGACCAATCATTCCCGGGGCCAGCCCAAGACTATTGGCGTTGTATTTAATGCAACAGTGGCACACACAGCTTCTCCCTATTCTACAGAATGAAGCAGCCTTTGCAATCACAATTTCACAATTACACTTCCAACAATTGAACACAGTTATGGTATTTTCACTTGAAATCATTATACTATGTCCACAATCATAAGTGTTACATGTACGTTCGTTGGTAAAAATTTTGCTTCCAAATTGGCACCTGAACAGATCATATCAAGTAAAAGTGGACGACAAAATAACATCAACATTGTTGCATTTTCAAGGCGCAGGGGCAGAGCTACGTCATGGCCAGGGTTGGAAATCTTGATACCTGTGACTTTCCTGCCATTTTCACAATGGCACAGTATTTTTAGATCTCTTGATACTCTGCCCAAATGTATTTATATTAACGGTATGTTTTATGAACAAATTTAAAATTTATCTCAATGCAAACTCTAAAAGAATCGGTCTGTAGTAAAGAATGTTTGATTCTTACTGTCAATATCAATCTAAAGTATAACTTTCACACCATAGCAAGCAAAAACATGGCTGAGAAGTCATTGTTTATCATACCATCCACATGAATGGTTTCATGAAATAAAATGCTCACCCAAAACATTCGTCATACAAGCAGAAACAAACTTAAATAACAAGCAACGTTTAGAATCGTTATGCATTAAGAGATTTTTGTGTCAATGTGCTGTTTGGATCTGATTTAAATGAATGGGTCATCAGTTGTAGTATGCAAAATGGTGTCGGGTGTCCATGACAATTGATAAATCTGTTTGGCTGTTTGCTAGCAGATAAGTCCACGAGATAACGGCAGCCTCAGAAATAGAACATGCAACATTGGAAGGGGTGTGGCTGTTAGAATGCCAAAAATATCATTGGCATACACAAAGTCATTTCATCAAACAAATGCTAACATAAAGTGCATCCGGAGAGTATTGACAAGGCTTCCCTTTTTCAACAGTTTATGTTGCAGCCGATGTCCATGTACATTTTGCAATAGTGCTGCAAGTTAAAATGTAGACAAAGGTAAGCACAGTGATTGCTGTCCGGATGCACTGTAAATAGCAAGTACATGTAGCTAAAGACAAAACAGCTAAGGTCCCTCCATCCATTTTCTATAATACTCATTGCGATTGAGTTGGAGCCTTCCGGTGAGCTTCGTATTCATTGTATTAAGGAGATGTCATGCTGCATATGACTCATGCTACCACACTTTCTTTAAATAAATCAACAGCAAGTTGACAATATATATGCAAATAGCAAAATATGTGAGCTTGCTGACAGGGTGGGCAATGACAGGGTGGAAATACTGTCCGAAAGTTAGCATTTAAAGCACATGGGGGACCTTCAATTACTAAAAAGATTCAGTAAGCAAATGGACTGTGTACTATTTAATACAGTACATATATTTTGGATTTGTGTTAAGTTGTGTAAAGACGGAAGAGGAACATAAGCTTGCTAACAACAAAAAAAAGAAAACACTTATATTGTCCATAATGCAAATGCGAGGCATCTTCAAAGGGGCAAGAGTTCTACTTTTTTTGCAGTTTTACTTTAGTTTTAATACTTAGTTTGGTACACTTTGTATACTCTTTATATTTTCTTGACTGTTAGGAATTTTAAAATGTTATTTTGAAAAACTGCCTGTGGAGAGAAGGTTTTGTGATGGCCGGCAGACTGAGCTTGAAACCAACTAATTCATTCAACATTATTTCCAACCAACGTTACGGAAGAGATTGTGTTCAACTCTGGGAGTTCCACGGAATCACATTATGAAAATAACAAGGGAGATGTTGGGTAGGCATGCCACTGACAAGTAAACAAATAAAAATTACCAAATCGTTGTGTGAGATGAGACTTCTCTGAAGTAAAGTATCTGAAGCTTCAATCACGAAAAAAAAAAATCCCAAACACCGCAGAAGACAAACTAATTCATGACCGAAAAAAAAGCCAATCAGAAGCAGAGGTTCATCCAGGGGTCAAAGCGTGTTTTGACATCGCTCGTGTCTGCTTCTTGAGCTCGTTATTTTTTTTTTCTTTTAATGTAGGTCAGGCATTACAGTTTTACTGCACACAAAAGAGAAAAGAACGCTGAAATGCAGACGGGGAAACAGTTATTAAAGCAACGCACCACTGAAAATGAATTGTCTTTCATTCGGTTTTCGGCAGCATACATATACATTAATAGTGCAAATTAATGACATCCAATTCCCTAAAATAAAAAAAAGTTAAGTCGATGAAATATCAAAATAAAAACATACTCTGTGCAGCGTCGCCTTGAACAATTTTGAGCAGCCCATGTAATCACTGTAATGTAATGCGTGCTCATTTTTCACTTGTTTATCTATATTGCTATAAAATGCGGTACGGCATCGTCAATTATTACCATAATTTAGATAGCATGCATAACTATCTCATGGTTGATCCATTATAACTATGAGAAATTAAATTTAAAAAAAAGACATTTATAACGGCAGTGGCTGGTGAATGCAAATAGCCTGCGTGCCTCCAATGGGCCTTCTATGAAAAGCTTTACATTCAAAAACATTAACGATTCTCACCAAAATTCTATATGTATATGCGTGCCCAAATCATACGCCGAAAATATTGAATACAAAGTCGCAACGTTTATGATTTTTATTATTTTTTTTACAGATGAGAGCCGGCTCCCAACATTGCTTTCTTCACAAGCAACACCTTACAATCTCTATAAAATCCACAATATTCGGGCATTTTCTAAATATGAAGCAGGAATGCATATTATTTGCGAATACATTTTGGTGACAATCGATCACGGTGTTTGTACATTAATGACAACGTTTGTTCTGTAAGGAGGTATGTGAGTAGGTAACACTTCTGACAAAATATTGATCCTTTTGATTGATTATTTCTGAATACAACTTGGGCACAATAATACATGTGCACATATGTATTGGGGAAGATCCATCACATTTTTCAGACGGAACGCTTTTTATGGCAAAATAGACCGGGAAACAAGTTAAAACTGAACAGTGCCATGTTATAGCACGCTTTGCGTCACATGAATATGTGAACTGTTCAAAATGGGTCAATATGGCTCTGTGCAGGGGATTTCAGTATTTTGACACTTGATTGGTTTACCCTTTTTTTCAGGGAAGAAGATGTTATTGATATTTGCACTATTAATTTTTATACATGCCCTGCAATTGGCTGGCAACCGATTCAGGGTGTCCCCCGCCTACTGCCCGAAGACGGCCGGGCTAGGCTCCAGCGCCCCCCGCGAACCTTGTGAGGATAAAGCGGATCGGAAAATGGATGGATGGATGGATGTTTATACACACTGCTGCCTAATCGAATAAAGGACAATGCATTTTCAGTGGTGTGTTGCTTTAAGTATCAGCAAAGTCAAGTTGGAAAGACTACAAGCTGACATGAACTATGCAAAATACACAAATCACAAAAAGTTCGGGATATTGAATTTTTGGGTGACATTTCAAGATGGACCTAAAACACACCATAACCTTTAAAGGTGAACTTTATTTGGCCTTCTCTAACCTTTTGAAATGCTTAAGTTTTTAAGTACTTTTTGCACAAGTTGCTGTTCTCAAACAAGGACCTGAACAACAAAATTCTGAATAAGTGCCATGAAATGACCAATACATTATCACTTCCATGCCTTTCCGTGACTCTTCCAGGGACTCTGTATTAGTAAGTCAAACACCAGAGGCCACTTCCCTCTGATAACATCGTGATTGAAGCCTTGAATTGCGAGTTACCGTTTTTCAGTAGTAAGATGTCATCTTGGTCTCATGATGTGAAAATGTCATCAGCATGATCAAGAGGACGGCTTAAAAACAAATTTTAATTGAACCGACAAATGTACTGGAAACACTTTGTTAGACAACAGCAAGCTGTGCAAAAGGTGTTGCAACATTGAACAAGCGGACATGTATTCAAAAGTTCAGAGAATGTCAAATTCAGTTGACATCGTTTATCAATTTCGAAATTTGCAGTTGACATGCACTTTTTCCAACGTGAAGAATGGATCATACAAAATTACGGTTTGCACAGATGTCAGGGATGTCTATTTCTTGATGGTGAGAAAAAATAATTAAAGCCAATAATTTAAGCAAATATCAAAAGTAATCACTCTCACATGCCTTATGGGTGGGAGATGACAGAATTGCGACACCAGCGTGGTTATTTGTAGGCTTTTGTCTGTCACTTCCAAAATCCATATTGTGAGCATTGTTTATGTCGCAGTACAATGGAAGAATGAGGAAAACGTTACAAATAGTCACCGGCATCATCAGCAGCATGTCCTGCGAGACTCTGACTCTTGCCGCCCCAGTTTGAAACCTTTTCCCGATGTTCCCCCGGCCGCATCTGTGACGGGGATGCGCTTACCTGTGTGAAGAAACACACACTGAACAGGGCTAAACACACACCAATTTATAACCTCATCATGACCAGGGGAAAAAATGGTTTGGGCTCACTGCTCTTTTCATGCGCGGTGTGCTCGAGATGACCAACACAGCAAACCACACACATAAGGATAACTCAACCAACAATTGTTTCAACACTTCCCCAAACCCTGATGTCTCTCGTAGTGCCATGACTGACTTGTGAGAGGCAGCAAAGTGCCACACTGCATCAAGACTGCAGGAAAATACATAAAAAAGAAGCTAGGCTAACTGTCATTTTATCCAGTAACTTTCACTGGTATCTCCTCATCATTGGGCGTGGCTTCCTGATTAACTACACTAAAGGACTTCTTTTTTTTTTTGTCCCTTAACTTTTATTGTGTAAATCAACAGACAACATATGGACATCATAACAATAATTGCCCTGAGATTGGGCCCTGACTCACAGTTGGGATTATCGGATTACAGAGAACTGGATTATCGGTAATGTGCTTCATTAATGGTCTTTTTGTTCTCTGCAAGTCTCAAGGAATACTCACTGATCTCTATAAACACCTCATTGATGTTAATGGCGTTCTTGGCACTGGTCTCGACAAATATGGCATGGATGGAGTCAGCGTAGTCTTTGGCGTCCTTCTCCAAGACTTCCCTGCAACCGGTGCGTGCCAAAATGGTTATGTTTCCACACACGCACGCACGCACGCACGCACGCACGCACGCACGCACGCACGCACGCACGCACGCACGCACACACACACACACACACACACACACACACATTGTCCAATTTCAACCATGACCAAGAAATATTCCGTTGTAACTCTGCAGTTAAAGATACATAGATGAGAGCTCCCTCCTCGAGGAAAACATGATGCAAGAACTACAGTAGAGTCTCCTAAAACTCGGGAAATTATGTTGTTGGAACAACATTTTTGTTCTTGTTTAAAGAGTGTTTCATCATCCTTAAACTATTAATAGGTAACTGATAAGCAGAGGGCTCGCCTGGAATTGCTGTTTATTATTCTTCTGACTTTCTTCTCAAGTTCCCTGAAAATTCACCAATTTTGGTAACCGCTTGTATCCTAATGAAAAAGTACATCATATGGATTCTCGAACAAGATCTCGCAAAACTCACTCAGTAGCGCCCCCTTCTAAAGTTAGAAAAAAATTATCCGCAGACACGGGTATCAATAATCAACACTTAATTGGGTGTGCATGTATCACGACAGGATGCATTTAAAAAAATGCACACAAAAAAATCTCAATAACCGATGCCTGAAATTGATCAGGCAGTCGGTTATTTTAGCTAAAAGGCGCCATTTGGGGTAAATTACTAGCTAGACGATAGATTTCAAATATTTTTTGGCATCTCATGTGGGCAGAGCATAGTGTCAAAGTTTGATGATCCTTTTGAGGATTCGCCATCAAAAGGTAATTGCGAGGGCCCTTTCGTCACTACTTTCAGCTAACATTTTTGCTTAGACTTCTCTGTTAAAAACGGTAACCAATTACTGAAATATTCATGAATGCCCTCCAGACGATTTGATTGAGAAAAACTGCACCAGAAGTATGCATGTGCACATGAACATGTGGCAGACTCTCCTTAGCATTTAGACGAAATTTAGCTCTTCCAAGACAGAACTTAAGCGGTCAAGATGTATCACTTTTACAATACAGAACTTCCTTGACACAGTTACTACTTTCCTATTGGTCAGGACTTTAATGTCTTTAGAGACAACAGGAAAAAAATGGTGACTTTGTGAAAAATAACCCACAAATAGGTGGGGGTTCACTATTTCACAAATATAATTGATCTCAAAGGAAACTTTTCTTTTTTTTTTTTTAAGATTAAAAAAAAATTAGAAACAGGCCAGCGTTTGGGGGTACAGTATGCCTAGACTAGATTTTTCCCATTTCTCACAGGCTCACCTGGCGTCTGACAGATCACATTTGTTGCCAGCGACCGCCACCACGATATTGGGAGGGCCATGCTGACGCAGCTCCTTCACCCAGTTTTTCAAAGTTTGGAAGGACTCCTGGCGGCACAAGCAAATAATATGTACTGCGCATTGACAAGCTTCTACTAGCGGTATCCGAGCACTGCTCCCAGTGTTAAAAAGAAAATAATCAAAAGACCGCCATTACTTCTGTGAACGTTTTTTTTGTTTTGTTTTTTTAACACATACAAGTGTTGCATCGTCGCCAGCACAGTGAAATCTGCCGTCGCTGGCGAAAGCTAAGCCAGCAGTTTCCCTCCTGTTTCCAGTTGTTTTTGCTAAGCTAGGATAATTAGCTGCTAGCTGAAACTTTATAGTTTACAGACAGATGAAATGAGAGGCTTTCAGATCCACGTTCCAAAATGCTTCAACCTTTCCCTCCACAGAAATACAAACTGTGGGAAGGACGTGCTACTGCCAAGTACGTAGATCTTCACATGGTTCAGAACAAACAGTTACACATCTACTGTAGAATTTAGTCAATAAATCCAGGTGTTATTTACAGACAAATAAGGAAGTTTCTTCCTTATTACACTCTCTGCACAGGCATTGGTAACTGGGAATAGAAACAATACCTCTTTAGTGATGTCATAAACAATGATGGCCGCTGCGGAGCCTCTGTAGTACATTGGTGCCAGAGCTCGAAACTATGGGAGGACAACAATATGAAAATACATGAAAAGGCAATACGTGGAGAAAAAATATATAGTTTTATAAATATGGGGACAACTAAAATCACTAGTATTTAGCTGTACTGGCATACATTTTTCTCCTACCTGTACGTTTTATGGGTTGTAGCTAATCCCTTGCAGACTGAACACTAGAGTGTGTTTTATTGGATTCAATAAAACAATTGCAACAAACCAAAGAAATTTGGACAGAAATGCCACAACAGCACATTGTTACAGTGAGCGGTTTGAATTAAACAAACACACGAAAAAAGCTAAACACGGAAGTTATCAAGAGAAAGACGAGCAGGATGTCAGGAGAGCTGCCACAATTATGACTTGAGTGGAAAAGCACGTGCGTTTGATCCTTAATTCATCACAACCTTCAGCTCAATCCAAACCAAATTCTCTCTGGAAAGGCAGGAACTTCTACTTATTTTCACATTTCGATGACTTGATCATTCGATTATTGAGTCAATTGCATTTCAGTGCGCTTCGACCACTGGCAACCAAACCAAAAAAACATATAAAGTGAATCTCAAATTAGAATATGGGCTAAAGCAAACAAATGTTATTTCATTTCAGTAGTTGAATACAAAAAGGAAAACTAATACACATGTATTCTAGATTCATTAAACAGAGCTGAATTTCTATACAGTGGTGCCTTGAGACACGAAGGACCCGACTTACGATGAGGTATCAGCCATTATGAGCTGCTTTTTTGCCACTCCCAGTTGAAGTTTACTGTCCAACTAAACATACAAGAAGGAGAATTACACACAGTCCACATAAAACAAGCACAGAGCTTTGTTTTAGGAGCGTCAGCTTGGCTACATGCTAGCATTCAATGCTGAAAATGGCCCAAGAATAGCATCTGTGTTTAAGTGTTGTAACTCTTTAAGCAATGGATATTTGAACACTACTAAAGTTGGAGAAACATATGTCAAAAGATAAAGTAAAAATACTCAGATTATTTATCCTCTGCAAAGAATGACCAATAGTACTGTGGTTTACTGCAAAAACTGTTACATTTCTCTGCATTCCATAGAATTATGTCATTACCGAATTTTTTTCGGAAGTACAATATCATAGTGTAGTTGTTATTAAAAGCCAATCTGCAACTTTTTTTTTTTTTGCCCGGTGTGAACATTTAATGGCGTTTCCATTCATTTCAAAGGTGAAAGAAGATTTGAGATATCAGTGCTTTGAATTAACAGCGGGGACGCAGAATGAATTAAAGGCACCACTGTATTTTAAAAAAATCCCGACTACTGTTTCTCTCGTTTTATGTACAGTGAAACTCCTCTACAACGAAATCATGTTTGCAGCAAGAAATTTTTCACAACAGGGGGTTTTTCACTGTAGCAAATTTGATCTCAGATGTAAGCACACACACACCCACACACACAAACGTATGTGTACACGCACACACAAACGTTTGTGTAATCTATTTTTATTCCAATAGTACATAAGTATGAGCACACACTTATTTGACACTTCATATTGTCAGTGTAGAAAGAAAAAAAGGGAAAGAAATTGCGAAATTTACGATCAGCATTCACTTTCACTTACATCAATTTCTTGGAAAATGTCTTTTATTTTGCTTGCTCCGTCTTTCATTTTGATCACTTTTACCCTCTCTTCCAGCATCAGAGCTCTTCTTGTCTTAGCTGCTTGACATCAAAAGGTCCGTTTTGTAACCATTTTAGCAATGCAACGTCCATCCTCGTCTGAATCTAACAATAACAAATACTTCCTGGAATGCAATGAACTTTTAAGCCAGCCACGGGATGTCTGAATCTAACAATAACAAATACTTCCTGGAATGCAATGAACTTTTAAGCCAGCCACGGGGCGCTTCGTAGTCCTCGATGGCCATAGTTAGCTCTCGAAGACTAAAAACCTTACGCTAACTGGAGCGCTTCTCTCTCATTAGCGCTCCAGTTAGCGTAAGGTTTTTAGCCTTCGAGAACGTTTCCTCGAATGCTTTACTTGTTATCA